TTAAAAACTTATTTCGAGCACTGTCATACTACAATAACTGTCTATGAATCAATCGATGTAACTCTGAATGTTAATCTAGTTCCAGCACTTTTAAACTAGCTCATTTTATATTCAATCCATAATGTGTAATTCAAGTATAACTCGAATAATGATGACATGAACACAGAATATCAGAAACCGACCGTAATTAGATTTCATTTTAATTTGTTAAGTTATAAAAAAACCTAAACATATTATCTTCGGTACAGATTTCGTTCCCACTGACTGAATGCTTACGAAATAACAGAGAAACATATAGCTTCTAAAGTTAGATATCAGGACTGAATTGTAAAAAAATTCACAAATTATACAGAAACATTAACCCAAGCGCTTCTTGATATTAGCACATAATGTGGTGAAAATAATTTTGATAAGTATATTATTTTGGTAGATTAAATAGTTTGTATTCTACATAGTGTATGCCATTGGTAGTTATTACATTTATCAAGAGAAATAACTGACGACTGTGATGAGTAACTTGTTCAATCAACGTATAGTTTACATATTTCAAAGATATATATTTGATTAGAATGGGGGTTCACGGAGAATGTAGCAATTTTCATAGTTGAATTCATGAGCCAGTGTAACCTGAACCACCACTGAAAACCTGGAAGCACCGGACGGCCGTTTCGTCATAGTTTTAAATGGCGGTCTAGCTTACATCAGCTAATGAATTCAACTACTACCACATTTACTTCATACCATTACTGTATAAGAGTTAAACCTTCATACACAAACGGTTTGGTGTTTACTAACGCCTGTACTACCCCAATGATTGCAAAAATGATAGTTTTTCTGGATCGTTGATAAAATAGATAATAAATGAAGCATTTCTACAAGTATGGTTTATGGAACAAATATTATGCACAAATACACAGGTTTAGTTTCTTTTTCAGTGTTTCCAAATATAATTTGGTAGGTTTCCTTGTATAACAATGATTCTATAGGTTATTATGATACCAAAGTTATTTCTCAACACTTATGCGTTGAGGTCCATTTCATCAGACGACAATACATTAAGTATTTCGTCCTGTCAATTGTTCATCGCCAAGACGTTCAAAATCATAAGTGACTACCGATCAGTCGTCGACTGAAAATTCATAGAAAGGATTTTCTCATGTTACAATAGATTTTACTTTGGTGAAAAAGTATACATTTGAGAGTTTTAGCACATTAGAGATTTCTTCTTCGATTTATTTCAATATGTTATTCCTATCAATGGAAATACATAACAGTTAATTTGTGCAACCGAAATCCTATTATATCTAGTCGCTTACTAGATTTCTTTTTACAAAATGGTTTACTTATTTATAGACGGTATCACATATACATTAAATGTAGATAATTTAATATGGATTTGGAGTACTAATTAGGTATTATAACAATCAAAACTGAATATCACATTGTTAAAGCAAATAAATTAAGACCATTTTCGTCACAACATTGACTAACAAATAATTATTTTAATAATATTAACTTGTTTAAACATGGATATGATAAAATAATAGAGAAATAAGAAATTTTTCGGTTAAATGGATATATATATATATGTTAGCTAAATGAAAATGCAAACAATGATGAGAGGAAAATGAGAACTGAAAAACAAAAAAGTAATAAGTTTACTCATTGACAGTCTTTTTCAAGTCGTGGTGGTAATGTCAGAAGTAGTGATACTATTAGTGATAATAAGTTGATAATTTTCCATATTTATACTGATAATTATTTGAAAATCACTATACACGATAAATACAAGTTTATGTATATATAGGGTTAGAAAAAAAGAGGGCGAAGAGAACATTTGTGCCAGTTAGCATAATCTGTGGTAATCACTTTACAAGAGCATTTAGCAAAAGCCATACAAAATGCTGAAGTATTATGAAATGTAAAAAGAAACAATAAAATACACAATTCTTTAGATAGATTATTGTTTGATCAAAAGTAAGAGAAAAGAGTGCGCAATAATAACGATAATAATAACACGAAAACAATAAAAAACACAATAAGATACACCGTTCAATGAATATTCAAACAACCGAAAAAGAATGAAGCAAATCGCTTATCTTTTTGTTCAACACGGAAGAGTTCAAAAACTAATTAGTACAATTTCCCATGGAATTTTGTTGATTCTCAGAAAGAAATGTGAATAAAGAAATCAGTAAAACAGCACCGGAACATTTTGGACAATATTTAAAAAGCCATATTGTAATTTGGATAATTTAATTAAAATAAACGAGGCGATGTACATGACTACATAGGTAAAGAATATAAACGCATCAAAACAATGAAAACTAAATCCAAAGAGATACAAGCATAGAAAAGTAACTAAACAACTAAAGAAACGATTAACATAGTGAATAGTAATATTTTATTGAAATGCTTGGCATTCACACGCGTGGATAATTGTCATGGTATAAACTTTGAAGATATACGTATATGCTTGAACAACAATTTGCAATATACTCCCGTTACTTTTTTCTCAATAGACATTAGTACAAAGTGCTCAGTTTCTTTTTACATTGTTAACAAATGCGAAAAAAACTTCCAGACTCTTTTTTATTTCACTTCAGAATAAATAATACAAATTCTAGAAATTTAATTCGTTCAAAAAACAGCTCAAAATCGCTCGTCATTTTCTCCATCTACATAAAAGCTGTGATCATTTTCTACGCGTTATTGTTTACCCTACCGCTAGGTCAATTCTCACAGCTTTGATCTAGGTATCCTCCAATTTTTTGACAAATATATTCAAATGCTGGTCTCTTACTAGAATCCTTAAAATGCAAGAGTAAAACAATAAAAAATGACCATATAATGATATATATAAGAAAATAATTTGGTACTTTAAAAACTGTTTAGCTTATAATCAAAGTTCATATAATAAAAATGTATTTACAAACAAGATATCATGATTCTTGAGATCATGAATTGACCTAAGTTGCACAACCAACGACAACCAGGATTATTACAAAACAATTTAACAAAAACGTATACTAAAGAAAATAAAGAACCTGTTTTTATACCTAATTTGCATGTTCATACTTATTAAAATGTCGTGAGCTTTGCATTGTTGTCAGTTCATTAGCAATACTTTGATGACTCAATGTCGGTATATGTGTTACTTCATGATGTTAATCTACAGGAAGAATAAGAAATTAGTTTTGTTGTTGTAGTAGGTAAAATACTACAGGACTAACGGAAAAATATTTCTTCTCTGATCATAAACTCAGTAAATATATACTAAAATGTTGAAGCGAATAATTTGGAAAGTATTTGATTATGACAATGTAGCTCATAAATCTTTCATGAATAATTTTTAAACTATTCAATAGTAGAGTCGATAGTATAAAAGAATATTGAAACTACAACTTCCATCCTATTTTGTTGATAAAAATTAACTCTGATTCTGAAAAAGAAATCTATCCTTATTAAATGAAATAATGGAAGTACTTTAAGACTTACATGTTGCCAACACTCAAGCATCAAAACATAAATTCGCTCAGGACATACAGCAGGTTTATGCAATCGCCCACCGCCAACAATATACTGATAGACCTGTGTATTATTCATGCCTTGATAAGGATTTTCTGAACAGCAGGTAAACACTTCCCACATAAGCACACCTAGTTAAGATAAAAAAAACAAATAGAATAAAAAAGAATATTAATAGTAAAAAAATACTGAGACAATTTTCAGGATAAAAAAGACATAAATATTAGGAAATAACAAGTATACTATGGAATGCAGATGAACTTCAATAGAGATTAAAAAAACACATTTCTGATGAGAAAGTTATTCAATTAAAAAAAATTAATTTCACTATGCAACTAGTTATTTAGATTGCAAACGAGAAACGTGTTGTTGTGATATGTTAATGAATTCAGAAATCTATTTATTACACCCTTATATAAATACTAGATTATAATGAAAGAGATTTGTTGAATACTGACAAAAGTTATATAATAATATAATTAACGTGAAAACGATAAAAGTTAATTTACAGTTTTATCGAAAACTATTTGGAAGACAATTTACACATCTGCTTCAAATAAATACACAGTACAAATTTGTGCAAACTTGAACAATAAAATAATCACAATCAATACATTACCATACGTCTTAAAAATGATATTATTCGACCAATTGCTTATGTCTTTTTCTATGTTGGCAATAAATATAACATTTTGGGCAATTTTAAAGTACGTTGTTAGTAAGCAAGATTGTGTCAGAGTGGGGGATGATAACTAGTCAAAATAATCTAAGAGTTGTTAACATAAGCTCAAATTTATATTGACTTGTGACTAACATTAAAATAACGGTGGTATTTTTCATTAGCCCTAACGATAAATTTTGAGGGCATGACCATAACTTTTAGCCTCAGAGTCTTAGGTTTGAGCCTTGCTTTACCTACTTCGGTTTAAGCAACTGGGTGAGTATGACACACTAAGAGTATAACTCATATTCAAGTACTAGGTGAATAAATTTATTTAAATTTACGTTTCTAAAAAAACTCATTACAGAAGAACCAGTAATAAGGAACATTTAAAACAAGATATCATCTAATTCCAATTTGCACATATTTAGTTAATTATATAAAAAATGATGAACAAATTACTCTCAGCATTAAATTGGTTAGTCTATGGTCATATAAATCACACAATGTTGTACTAATTGCATAAATGGATGACCTTTACATTTTCCTCCAACATATAATAAAAATTTGAGTTTTTTCAAAGCAAACCTAATGTGTTAATAAAAAAAAACCAATCCCATTTATGAATATTAATTTTCTGCCCTGTTTATAAGTCAGCAGTAGGTGTTAAACAGCTACAGATATCATTAACTGAACATAACACAATAATATTAAAGCTAGTATACTCCTCCCATATATATATATATATATATATATATATATATATATATATATATATATATAATTCATTTCAGTAAAGATTAAACAAAAAGCACCCATGTGGAGATAAGGGTAGAGTAACAGAATCAAAAGTGATTCTAATTCCGGTCAAAATAATGTGGTAGCAGTAATGAAACAAGCATAGGGAATATCTTTCACCAATTATACAGGTATATATACATATATATATATATTACAATTTGTCTGTTCATGTATGCATGTGTACATGATGATTGGTGAATTAAATAGGGTTTTATTAGAGAAAAATATTAACACAGAATAAAATCGAGAAAGTAATATTGAATTTGTCATAGGAATTTCAGATAAAAAAAGCAGGTGATAAAATATGACTGATCAATAAATAATGTTAGATGCATTAACTGGTATGTACAGTTATTCACTCTCATGAGTTGGAAAATTTTTAAGGGAAAACATAATTCGAAGTTCGGAAATATTGAAGAATTTCTGGAAAATTAGTTTTCTATAGAATTCAATGTACGATTCATCATTTTGATACAGGCAACTAGCAATATCAAAGTAATTAGTTCTTGAATGTAAACATATATAGGAAAAAATCAAATGCTACCACAGGGTTAGGCGTTTTATACCTGTAATTTTTTAATTCAATATATTCTAAATTCTGGCACCCATTTAATGTACCAGTCACGTAACTATTGCCATACATATGCATGAAACTGAGAAATAAAAAATATGAAATGATATTGAAATCTAGTATTTAGGACAAGAAAATGAACAAATGTAACAGTGCTAATATAATCAATTTTTAATCATGACATCTTAAGTCTGTAAACGCTGATTAGTTATCAAGTATTGAGTAAGCTTCAATCGGTCAATGGAATAAGAGGTATGATGAGGTGTACACGAAAATAGCGATAAATTATACCTGAAAAAAGTACTACTGATAAAATGGACTAATGGTGTTTCTTTGAAACATCTTTTTACTAAAACTGAGAGATAGCAGTAAAAGATGAAAGTAAAATCCACAAATTATTGAATATCAAAGTATTTAATAAGAACAAACGAGATAATGTACGATAACAAATCACAACATTGTTAAGACATTTCAATAGATAACGATATGACAGAAAATCATTTGAAAAGGACAATAATAATATTAATAATAATGGTTATGTATTGATAATAAAATAGGATGAAGAGGACTTTGTTTGAATAAAACAATTATATTTAATTTTTATGAAAAGTTAATCAAAGCACGCCAGTTTAAAAATATCCTACAGAAAATATGATGTAGAACCGTGGAGTTTATAAGGAAGAAAATTGTTCAAATTTCCAAATGCCGTCAACATTTGAAAAACGTCTTTTGAGGAAGTCATGAATAAAATACTTGCATAACCTCATATGACTGAGATGATTGGACGTTGTGATGAAATAGTTAACGAAAACAAAATACTAAAATGAATGAAGGTATAATTCAAGTTATTAGAAATTAAGACAGTTGAGTATACTACTAAAGACCTAAATTTATAACTCAAACATAGAATGTAAGGTTGTTATTCAGATTATAAATGACTGATTAAATATTGAAAGATTCGCAAGGTAATCAATAACGCCTTGTTCTGTCACATGAGTACCTGATAGTTAATAGGATATCAAGCCTTTTGGTCATTAATACTTTATACGTATGATATTTTCCAAATGTTATAATTTAGAGTCTACAAAAATAAACAAATATAAAATACGATAAACAAGAAGTCTTACATAATTACGAATTTTCTTATCAAATTATATCCAGTTTAGCCTTAGAAACTTTGATTAGACAGATTAAGCAGAGAGAAAAGAGAAGCAATATCAGAGTAAAAGAAAACATAGATATATAAAACCAACGGAAAACCAATAATCAACTAAAAAGATAATACATTTTTTGATAAAAGTTGACCTTACAGAAATCATGAATAAAAACTTTGTTTCACAATAAAAAAACCCGACTGTTTATACTGTTGTTAAACTATATATCGGAGTATAGACGATGTTCACCTATTCGTAATAATAATGATAAAAGTTTAAGTAGTTTCTTTTCACGAAAAAAATTTCGGATTATTTGAAATTCTGTTTACATTTTTGTTAAGTGAAAGTGAGAACAAAAAATTAAATAAACTTGTGAATAGAAAAATAAAAGATTTTATATTATCAGCTGAATAAATATTCAATGATACTAATGACTCTTACCGAAACTCCATACATCTGCTTTAGCTGTATAAGTGGACTGAAATACTTCAGGAGGTGCCCAACGAACAGGGAATTTCGTTCCAGCACTTGGTTCATATACGTTATCTAGTAAAAAACGTGCCATACCGAAATCAGCTACCTTGACGTGAACTGAATTTTGACTAATTGATTTTACTAAACAATTTCGTGCTGCTAAATCCCGATGTACAAACTGTTCTTGTTCCAAGTAAGCCATTCCATTTGCTACTTGAGCACAAATATCAGACATAACAACTGGTCGATTGCAAAACTGTGGCTGACGTTGTCGCATAAAATCACGTAATGAACCTAGGTTTAAGAAAAGTGATTTATATTCTTATTGATATATGAAAAAGATGGACACAATATTTTTTATGATTAAGAACAATAGAAATAACTGAAAACTTAATCGAAATATTTAACTAGTTTATTGTAGAAGTAGATAATGGACAGAGATGATTGATTTGATATAGAAGCACAATGTTGTGCTATACAATTTAGAACACATTAGTCTCTTTGAATGAAGATCCCATTAAACGTTCAGTATTATTTATTAAAATAAGTAATGATTATAGTGATAACACATTTATTCAACTTCTATTCATTTGTCCATATATAACAGCTGGTATACACAAATTGATAGTATTGGTTTTTAATATATAGATGTATTCAACTTAACAGCTGAAAAGATAAAAATAAACAACTGTACCGTATCTGCAGATTATAAGATGAACTGTGGAATGTGAAATAAGTATAGTTAATCCAAAAAAAATAGTCATATTCACTGTAAGAGATTAACAGTATCTTAGCACGTAATTATAATTTGAGTTCCAAGTATTCTATTCATTTCTCTGAATATATATTTACTTGAGGATTATGATGATTTACACTGTTTTTGTAGGGGTTAGTATTATTAACTGAAATAATCTTCTGTTAAATACTGTAAAAAAGTGGTTACATTATAAACTATATACGAATAAATCTGGATATTTTCCTCACTGAATTTCATTTCCTTTGACATCACAACTGACGTATTTTCTCCAAATGCCTCTAGTTGAGAAAAATTTGTTCTAGTTCACAGGAATATAGTACGCCAAAATTATCATGTCCTTACTACTGACTACCTTTGAGGAAATTTACAGGGTCCTAATGAGAGACTGTGACCAGTGGGGTTTTAACCGTGTCAGAAGTAAATCAGTTACCCACCGAAGACGGTCGCATAATATCATGGTTTGGTTAGAGTTAGGGAAACAAAACCGTTGGATGCCGGTTCAGTGGTCTAGATGTTAAGGGTTCGCTTGCAAGACCGAAGGTTCTGACTTCGAATTCCGCGTGTGGGGTCGTTGATGCGCACTACTGGGAGTCCCATACTAGAATGAAAAGTTTGTTTATTGCTTTCAATTTTTTAATAGTGATGATTTCAATGAAATTTAGCAAATGTCTGAAGTGAGAAATAAGCGAGAGCGTATGTGTCATCCAGTTTTTTCTGTATTAATATATTACCAGTGATGGAGCATACTGTTTGAAATTAAGATAAATAGATACATAAGTACTATTAAACAGCATACTGTATAACTGATTAAATAGTGCATCGACAGAAAATTACTTAATTGACAATATTGTCAAGCATTACAATCATTCAATGGTACCCAACCAAAACGTCTATTTCTTCTGACTTAATGGATTAGTCGTATAAAACTTGTTCAGGTAGAGTCTTCAACAGTTTTTACACTATTTTTCAAAGAGATGCGAGGAAATCCAAAAAAATACCAGCAAATTATGGATGAGTTTCACTTTTCTAGGTAATTGTTTAAAACAAAGCATGAAAGATATCAAACTGTTGTATAGAATGTTTACCCTTCGGTGTGTAAGTGTAAATCTAGGAAAGCGGATTATCAGTGACAACAAATTAGTTATCAATGAGTTTGTAGGTATCATTACCAAGGTTTGACTTGATAATTGCAAATGAACTGAGCATTGGGTAGATTGTTATTAATAAAAAAAAATATATTTGTAATATCTCAATGAATAGGAAAATTGGATTTTTAAATTTTGAGACGTTTCGTGACTAAGTGTAAGCTACGATTTCGGCTCAGATATGTAGATGATACTTTTACTGTCATCAAAAAAATCACCCAATATCTATTTCTAAAATGATCAATACACTCTCGTTTCACATCAAATTTACGTGCACTCAGATCGTTATATCGACTTCAATTCAGCACATCCATTCAGTGCAAAAATCTCTCTAACCACAAATATCTTAAGACGAACAAATAAGATTATTACGTTTGAAGAGGATAAACAAAAATTACGAAAGCACATTATTAGCATCTTAAAATATATTAATTTTCCTATGAAGATCGTTAAAAGTGCAATAAAACGAGGTGTCTTTCTGCTAAATAATAATACGAATGGAATACCATGGGTCGGTACGGTAGTTTTATCATATCGCCATGGTACAACAGAAATCCAAAGTTTTAAAACAACACAGAATTAAAGTACAATACAAAACAACAAATATCTTTCGAAATGCTTTAGTTCGTGTAATGTAAAAAATACCCTATATGTCAACACAGAATTAAGTCTACGCATGCCTGTAGCATGCGAACTGGTTGGTTGATTAGTTGCATTACGGATAACAATCAGTGAGTTTGTTACCCTCTTCACGTTAAGTAATGAAATCAGACTATGCAATTCAGCATTATTAGTATTATTTTACGTTGATGGTCGTTAACTCTTCAATATTTACCAATCGAAAACACCTCTTAACAATTATTAACTAAAGCCTGTTACCCTCATCCCCGTGGAGGATCATAGGCCGACCAATAGCATTCTCCATCAAATTCTGTCATCGACAGTCATTTAGAGTTGTAATCCGTTTCTGTTCATCCTTCTCATTTCTGCTTACAACTCTCGGTGCAGTGTGTTCTTCAACCTTCCTCTTTTCCGTTTCCCTTCAGCATTCCTAATTAGTGCTTGCCTCGTGATGCAGTTTGGTGGTTTTCTCAATGTATGTACCACCCACCACTTACAATGTCTTTTCCTAATTTCCTCTTCAGACAAAAGCTGCTTTGTTCTCTCCCACAGTCGTTTCCAACAATTCAGTGCTTCCCCTCAGATGTCTTGGTTTCCATAACCCATTCGACTCCACAATTCAATCTCGTGGGACAACTGTGTACATAAATATAACAGAAAACATAGGATTGACCATAAGAATATACATCAAAAACCTAACCTTTGTATACAGGAGAAAATTTTTCAGTCTTTAATTTTACCCTGGCCCTCTACTTAGATACTATTATGCATTTTAAAACCTTTCTTTCTCTTCTTTAGAAAAGTTCCAAACTTCTATCTTGTTGACATTTGGACTTTCGATTCTAATCTTATGTAACCTGTTTACCGAAATTATCTACCTTTTACTACACCTGTCCTACTAATTAGTCATCACTAATTTCACAGATAACGAAAACACTTATATTTACATCCAATTTTAATTCCTACTCCTACTCTTATGTAACTACTTGTAATAAATCGACTTATCGCCACCTACTAGGTATCTTCACTCAACTTGTTTTAGTGAAAATATTTAATGAATATGCAAAGTAATTGTATAAAACATTATGTCTTATAAGAACAGTTGACTGGGAGATTTATACTCACAAAACTTTATTTCTAGTGTTGGACCATGTGGTCCTTAAAGCTGAATTTATAAATAGTTGTGAAGTCAATGGTCTATAGATAAGCTGATATAAATGTAAGAGGGTATACATTTGTTTTTCGTATATCGCGGGTTCCTTAAGGCATAATATGAACTTTATTATACGGAATTCATTTCACCTCCATTGACCCATTCACTCTACGAAAATATACACACAGTTCGTTGTTATTTTCTTAAAATAATTTGTTACAGATACATGAGTACTAAAAAATTAACAAGAAAATATAACCAGGTAACTTCACTCAAATTGGGAAATGTACCTGTTGTAGTCATTTTTATAATGAGGTTTTCAATGACATCTCGACTAAATACATAGCTGAAGGAATAATCATGCTAAAATGTACCGAACACTTTAATACATTTATAGACATCAATGAAGTATAAGAAACTGTATATTTCTGGTAGTGTAATTCTATGCATAAGATAGATAGTGAAAACTTGTGTTTGTTAAATGGCAGGATATGTGGTTAGTTGATAAGTTGGCTGGTTGGTGATGAGTTGACCAAAGATAGAGAGAGAAAATCGAAAGCCAGAACTTAATTTGATCATACTGAGAGAGATCGATAAATTTATGATCAAATATTGTTTATGTCGACAAATAATCACTAACCTCGAAATAAAACAGAATTTCACCAAAACAATTGATAATTCTAAAAAAACAATCAAAAACGTAAATAATTATTATCAAAAGCTTTGATCATTAGTTTGAGGTTTACCTTTTAGGAGTGGAACTAGTTTTACAACCTATCTATATATTAGTTAGCTTTACGCGCCAGTTTGACTAGTTTTCACAATCACTGTTGTAGTACTGTACTATTAGAGAGTCATCTCGTGGAATCATGAAAAGAGCCAAAAAAACATTAAGTGAACAGAAAAACCACCCAATAATGTCGTAGAACTAGAAAGACTAAAAATAAAGTCAGCAATAGCAGTCCATGCCATTTTCAATAACTAACAAGTCGGTATTAAAAACATAAAAATAATACAAAGAGGCTTTTCCAAAAACAAAAAAAGTGATTAGCTGAAGCTCCCTACATATTGCTTAATTCTGTTGCACTCAATGAAAAAGGTTTCACAATCCATCAGACATGGACCATCTATCCGAGCTACCGTGTCTGATTCTATTCGCATCTCACACCATTATCGTACATACAAATCCAACTCTATCCTTCCGCACCACAAATGTAACATTTTTTCGTCCTCGAACATACACACAGAGATATGCCTTACATAAATCACGACCTGAATGACATGATATTGACTTGGCAAGACCTGTTTTTGGTTGACCGCACCGAATATACCTGCTTTGTTTCTTCGTACTATTCAACCTTAGTTAATTTAATTTGTTTATTTATTCTCTGAAGAAATGGCTTAGAATGAGTCACGGAACGTCAAAAAATCTAATTGTTCCACTCATTGGGATATTGGAAATATATTATTTTTATTTTTGTGTAGACCAGAACTGAAAACCTGAAAGCGCTGGACAACCTTTCCGTCCTAGAATGGGACACCCAGTAGTGCGCATCAACGACCCCACACGCGGAATTCGAAGTCAGAACCTTCGGTCTTGCAAGCGAACCCTTAACAT